TGCTGGTGCGGCAATGATGAAGAAAAAGCCATGAGAGACGGCCCAGAACCCGAGAAATGGGAACCCCTTCTTTGCCCGTTTCTGGGTGTTTTTTTCTCAATTTTTAATGAAATTTGGTGTCTCAAGTTCTGCATTCGTCAATAATTCCACTTTTATTGCTACAATGTTCCTTTATGACTTTATGTGTCTGTACTTTTTACTCCATTTACCTTCCTATCGACTTTTTTCATCTATAGTTACTACTTATTATTGTGCTATTATAGTTAATCTTGCTTCTTGGCTTTATTGAACCATACTCTTAGATTTGTCGTCGTTCTCTGGTTTGCAAAAGCTGTCTAGTAATACGGATTCCTTTTTTACTCCACATTTCCCAGTATACTATTGCTACTTCGATGTAAACTACGGGTTTGTGATGAGCTCATCAAAGTTTACTGGCGCCATTTTCATGTATTCTTTAGCGAGCTTGCGCGTCGTGCGTCGTGCTAAAAGAAAGACGAGAACGTGCGCTTGAAGTGCATTCCATCCATAACTGAGTCGCACTTGTACGTAATTACGTGCACGTTCCGTTCTGACTTCACTGTACACGCGAGACCACCGCGAAAGGGGGATGCTATTTGGGTCTATTCCAGTTAGGGGGGCATGTGGTTTAGAGCGCTCAACATGTTTAAAACCAGGTATCCCCTTCTCTAATAGTGTAAAGGTCTAGGACTAAGCCTAAGAAGGAAGGGAAAACCCCGGGTTTGTGAGCAATCTTCGCTTCTCCGGGGACTAGGGTCTTAATGCCGCTACTTCACTGTGTATTACCTGTTCATTGACGGTACGTATTGTATGAAACACAAGAACACGTACATTATATAAACCCGAAGAAAGCGAACGGTACAAAGTGGGTTGGGCGGCGGGACCACGGATGGGCGCTCCAACTGGTGTAGCGGGACCTGGCACTTTCCTATCGAACGTGGAGGATAGTGGGTTAACTCGAACATTTCAGTTTTTCACGCATGTTACCGGCTGTCAGTGGCTGCCCTCAGCCCCTACGCCCTCCCCTCCCTAGGCTGCCTACACTCCTCCTAGCTCACGGATTTCCTGCAGTACGCTCATGTCAGGCGAGCAGAGTGGTTCTCATGATTTGTTCTTGAAAAAGTGGAACCTCCAACTGGGATTAGGGACATATTTATGTCTCCTTGAAAGAACAATTATATCCGTCTTACTAGCTTACGGCGTCGGTGGGGGTCACCCCCCCCCCCAATCCCACTTGTAGCGAGGCAAAACACACCTTCGCGGTGTAGCAGGTGGGGTAATTCGTTTGTGAAGACGCTTATGAGCCCCGAGACTAGTGATATTAGAGTGACTGTGGGCGTTTGCAGTGCCCCGCCTAACTGAAATAGCACTTGGAATTTTATTAAGGGTCAGGTTGCGCCCATTTGACTTTCCCTTGGCTGGCGGAAGTGTTCTAAGCTCCACCTCCAGTGTGAAGATTCGGGTTAAGTTAGTGTATTAAGTGCCAATTAGATTAAGGGGAGTTATAGGGATATTCAGTGAGGTAGTTTAGAATATTAACCCGAATTAGTAACTAATTGGGCGCTATCGCAATGTACAGAGGCATTGTGGTGGTATTGCATTTGAAACCGCGTAGAAGTTTTCTTTTTTTTGTTAAAAATGGGGCCCCAACTTAGGCAGGGGAGGCGAGTCCCCAGGATGCATGAGCTATTTTATTTTCCCTGGAGTTTCTGCTCCCTCCTAGCCTTGAACCTGAAGGATGCCTCCGCATATTGCGATAGCCACTTAATTAGTATTGCAGCATATTCATGTTTCACCGTTGCTTTTTTGCCGTAGAGTGTTCACTCCAGGCCTAATATGGCGGTTAATCTATATAATTTTATGAGTCCTGACTATGGCGTGGGTGGATGAAATTACATTGTCCTCACACAGACTGATTTGACGCAAGCAATTCAGGGTTTTTGTTTTCTTTCCCTGTGCTTTCTTTCGCCAATCCCAAACACTGAGCTAGGGGATTGTTGAAATAATAAGGTTCGTCTGAGGAAGGAGCGAAACGAACCTTTTTATTTGTTTTGTTCCCAAATGTTTTTTTTTTCTTGCTAGCCGTCCGTGTGGCACAAGTATAGGCCGATGTCAGACTTTGCGAATCGCGCGATTCGCTAGCGTCCGCGGTCGCGTTGCGGTACCAGCCAATTGAGTGATTCACTGGCCGCGACGCGACCGCAGACGCTAGCGAATCGCGCGATTCGCAAAGTCTGACATCGGCCATAGGGAGGTGGTGGGGTCGTATTTGTGGAAGTTGAAGAAGTCTTGGTTGAAGGTTCTTTGACTATCTCTTGAAACTTTACGAGAGGGATATAAACCGTTTTCAAGAAGAAACACGTCCCGAGTCAGGGGTTTCACTTTTTCAGAATCAAATATTGAGGAACAACTATGTGGGTGAGGGTGATGGCCGGGACCGGAGGAGGAGTCGTTTGTTAAACCCACTAAGGCCGATGGTGGAGGTGGAGGAATGTCTTATCGAGACTTCCTCGGAAGGGGGTGGTCGTAAAATTTTTGAAAAAGTACCTACGCAGGGGTTGACTAAAAATAGGTCTAAGTAAAAATAGCTCTTGAAATCTGCTGGTGAAAAAACTGCGCCGTATCGCGCTATCTGAACTATTTATACCAGTCTATCGCACGGTTTCGAGGTTCATAAGCCTTTTTTCCGAAAAGACAAACCTCCAATTACTATCCTTTTTTGAAGAGCTCGTTGAGCCTCCCGCTTCTGTAATGAAAAATTCTGTAATTGTTAGTGACCTCGGTGAAAGGGTAAAGGATAAAGTGTTCAGAATTTTGGAATGCGCCACGCATTTCGCTTCCATTCAGGAATGCAGTGGCGCTTGAGCGCAATTCGGCATGTACAATAACTATGAGTCTCTGCCGGTGGATCATCCTTTTTTGTCTTCCCAGGCCAGTTTGGTACCAATCAGCCAACCCTTGATGGATGGATGGCTTCTTTGGCTCGGGTGGGATTCAACTCTATATTCGACCTCATTCCTTTGGAATGTGTTATACTACAACTGCATCAGGAAGCCCTTGAAATTCGATCTTTATTGAAATCGAATAAGACAAGAAACAAGATCGTAATGGTTAAGTGGCTGGAGGCGCAGCTTTACACAATCGCAATTTGCTGGATTAGAACCTGTCTTAACCAATCCAGCCAATGCTCACAGCATAGCTCATTAATTCCTGCACTTGCCTAAACGGACAAAAGCGCTCTATTGAACATAGATTAGTTCCAAAGCTATACTCCAAGCCAAAAACACTCAAATACCGTCGCGATTTTGCCTGATATCGAAAGCAGCGGCGCACTCCAGAATGTTTAATTGACGACAACATTGATGTTGTTTTTTCCATCATAGAACCAGTAAAATGCGAGTTTACTATTTTTCGTATCCGATAGTGAATATGGATAGATTTGGAATCTGAAAATACAGGCGAAAATTCAAAAAAAAACTTTCCAACTTTTTATACCTTACTTTTTCCTTTTTTATAATTTAGCTATTCTTTCCATTTATCTATCCATATCTGTTTTCCACTTTCTCCTTATTCATACCTTAGTATTGGGGAGGAGATAGCGCGAGATCTCCTTCCCTTCCCTGGTTGAAAGAGATTCTTCTCTTCTGATTGAAAGGGATATTATGACATCTGGGGTCGTGTGCTGTTCTCCCCCAAGGGGAGAGGGCGAAAATCCCTCCGTTTTCCAAACAAGGCTCAAGACTGCCCCAAAATGGAGCCTATTTGTAAGGTATTTGGTGTGCAAGTCAAAATGTGCTTGAAGGTAAAGGAACCAAAACAAATTTTACACATTACTTTCAGAAGTTATACATATAATATCCCGGGCCTTTTATAATGTTTGATAATAGTTTACTTCAATTCATTTATTGTAACGAGTGAATTCCGAATTCCGATAACTATACCGGTGATTTGAATTATGAACAACTGAAATAAATAATGAAAACGAGTCTCTCCCGCGTGGGAAGGCGGCGCGCAAGCGCGTCACGCCTTTGCCACTGGGGTCCGCGTGCTACCCTTCTTCCAGGCTAGGACAAAGGAAAATTTCAAATTTATTGGTCAGTATTTTTCTTCGGAACCTTTTTTTCTTTAATTCACATACCCACACTACAGGCTGTTCTTTTTCTTCCTAAGGCTGTTCCTAGTTGGGAAAACAGAGATTTAAAGGGATTTCTGTCCCCTCTAGCGACTTGAGCACTAGTCCTAGGGGAGGGATAGCATACGGCCTTGGTTTCCCTCGCCCTTCCCCAGCTGGGAGGGTACTCTGAGAAATTAAAGCCAATTCAATCAGCTGTTAAATATTTGATAATTACTCTGTATTGCTCTTTGCGTGATTGACCAACGAATAAACAAATAAATAAAAATAAATAAAATAGCGGACTTCTTCTACACAGTCTTCTACGTGGTTCTTCCCATTCCTTCAATGTGGTGATATGCGTTTTTCGGCAAACTATCGTGTACTGCATCAGTTCACGTCACTCTCCTTTACACCCACTCACCCCACCGCAACATCCGCCGTCCGTCGCGATGCTCGTGTGGTGTTCGTTGTGCAGTACACGACGAACACGTGACGTCACATGATTGTCTTCGATTCATCGCCGACGACGAGTGCAAGCAAAAAAGCGAGTGCGTGCCGGCAGCACTGTTACTTTGTTTCGTTATCGATTTCGGAATTTCACCGCCGCGACGCGACGTCGCCATCGCCCGGCGATCGCGTCATCGTGACGGCGGCCGCGTCGGCGGTGGTGGTTGTCGCCTGTCGGTCGTCTGTCGAGGCCAACAGGCCAGCAGTTCGCGGTCCTTTCCGGTGTTTTGTCGTATTTTCACGTTGCACATTTCGTTCCGCCGTTTGCGTTTTTCAAAACGTTTTGATCGATGGTTCTCATTCATATTAATAATGTGTATTCTAGTGACTAGTGATATTCCTCGATGGATGCACAGTTATGATGATGAAACGACGTAAAGTTCGCGAAGCGACGACAACGACGTATTATTACGATTACAAATCGTTATCAACCCAACGTAATTCCCTGTTTTCGTTAAGGTTAGCTTCAGTTTATTTGGTTTCCTTTTTATTTTCCTCGTCAGACATTTTTAATTTATCGCTATTGGTTCAAAATGTAGCTGGCGCTTTTCTTGTGATGATGTTATTATCTATGTCAAAGTTTTTGTTTTCTTATCGCTTCATTATCATATGTGTTTACGGCTCGGGAAGTATTCTTCAGGCAAAATCTTTCAATAGCCGATGAGATTGAGTAGCTTTGAAGCTTAGGAAAGTGGGAAAGCTTTTTATCAGCATGAAAATCGGCGTTGAGTTTTTACATAGTCTCGAAAATCAAAACCTGGTTTTATAGTGGCATTTTATTGCATCACAAGGTGCATGTGCTTTGTTCCCACAGTGAAAAAACGGAGTGACGATTTAAAAATAGCAATTTTGAGTGGAGACAATAAAATGCTTGAACGAGTGAGACCACATTCTCTTCAGCCTGGGAATCGTGTCAAACGCTCTAATCTCTTTTTGCGTGTTTTTTCCCTTTTGTTCTATGGTCTTCCTTGGCACACTTTGGCAGTGGTTTTGGTTTTTTTTACGCGTTTTTTCCTTTTATTCTGTGGGCTTCATGTAAAACTTGCCGTGTTATTTAGTTAATGGTGTATTTTTCTGCCGCACTTTGGCAGTGGTTTTGTTTTAGACTATTTCACTTCACTGAAAAAAGGAATAGGAAATGTATGAAGGTAATTTAATGTTTATTCATCTGAAATCCAGTGCCTTGACAAGTCTTCTATAGTTTGAATCGAATACGTACGTATTTCCTCTTACTGGAAAATTCACTTTTTTTTGAGGAAACATTTCATCTTGAAGCATGCGCTTGGGAGTGTAGGTTATAAATTTGTTCTTTAAAGTAAAATCATGTCTTTCGGTGCTACAGTGAGAGTCAGTCTAGTTTCTGCTACCGCAATTTCCAACCTTTCCTTTTCTTTCTTTTGTCTATTTTTCATCGCGAAAGATCTAAGGTACACAAACTAGGTGCCAAAACTGAGGAGCTATTTTTTGTTAGCATTAGTAAAACTCTCTGTGGGTTTTCTTTCTCGCCCGCCTTTCCGCTCAAGCTTATATTACTCACAGTCGTGAAATTGGACTGTAATTACAGAATTACGATTCAATTATGACGGGAATTTCTAGCTCGTAATGGTTTCCAGGTTTCGAAATGAGTGATTATAAAGACAGTTAAATGCAATAAAACATCGAAATCCTTATCTTCACAGTTTCGGTTACTTTCAGTAATCTTAGCGTCCTGGGGGGTGCGGGGGGGGGGGGGGGGGGGGGGGGGGGGGGGGGGGGGGGGGCTGCTGTGCTACCAAAAAGTGATGATTTCATGTTCTTTACGAGGATAAGCTCGTGTTACTTGAATAATTTGAGGTGCTAACCTTTTCTCCTCCTTCTAGCCTATTTGATATCTTCAGGATAGAAGTTAGACTACAAATAGGCTAGTCCGTTGTTTACTATTTATTCCTGAATCCGCTTAAGTGCTTACTTTCGCTATGTTTTGGCCTTAAAATCGCTTAATATTTTCATTATAAAAAATAATATGATTGAGATTTGCTTTTCAGTTTCTTAGGCTGATTTATTTCTTTATTAACCATTAGCAGTAATTCTATCACTTGTCAGCAATGACTGTAAAATGGATCATTCTTTCCCATTTTGTTCTTTAACGCTGCTGTAAGGATTGAAGGAGCCGTTAGCCACCCGACAAGCCTTTTCCGATTTTTTTTTCAGAATTTTTTTTATTTGCCATTTCTTAAGGTATCTCAATGGGAACATGCTCAGCCTGATCTCCATACTTGTGTTATGTTTATGCGTGAGTTTTTATGAGTTATGTGCTTGATTTTTATTTTGACTTTTTGCGGACTAGAGCAGTCCTGGGTCATTGTTTTAGCGTTCGTTTGCCACCATTTCTTATAAATAGTTTAGGAATGTAGTACAGAACGTGCAGAAAGTTCTTTTGAAACCTTGGTCGTGATCAGTCCCTAATTCATAATACTGAAATGATTCAAACAGTTTGTTACATCGTCTAAAATTTTCCATTGCGGGGAAAAAAAATTCTGAAATGTTTATGTTGATTTAATGCGCGATGAAACTACACAGAAGTAGGCATGATTTCGAGAAGTAATCCCTTTTTTAAGCTTTCAGTGGAAATTTTTTTCATGATTCTTGAGGAGCTGTAAAAATAACTGTTATTTAGTCTTACAGGTTTAAGTTACTGTTCTAGACCTATCCTTAGTGAACCCAATCTTCACTTCCTCAGTGTTCTTTTGACGAAACAAGAATATTCACGATGTTACGGCTTTTTGCAGGTGAAAGTTTCTGAAGCGTTACCTGAAAGGCGTTGTGGAACGCTGGACATTCGAAATCATCCAAATCAAGGCTATAAGCTCGGTGGTCATAAATCAATTTCAAGCACTCATGTGTAAGCAGTTGTGATTTTGTTTCAGAAATGTTTTGTGTGCAATTGGAAAAAAATGGCAGTTTTTGTTTCAGCAACTGTAGTGTGGTGGAAGGCTCGATGGTGTTGTCATTAATACAGAACGCAAATGTGACTGAAGCGGATTTTCCTATGTTCCAGCATTTAAGAGAGATCACCGGATCATTGTTGATTTTCCAAGTCAGGTTGGTCTAGATAAAAGTTGATGTTTCAAGTAAACTTCTCAATCTACATTGAAACGTGAAACGGCTCTTGTGATTTTTGTTCTTTCCCCTCCTTCCCTTCCTTACTGCTGCGTATTTTCAGGAAATTATCGACATTGTCACGAATTTTTCCTAATCTCCGGATCATTGGCGGGCAGAATCTTATTCAACACTTTTCATTAATCATCTATCAGAATGAGGATTTAATCGACGTACGTTTCGCTAGCCTGTTTTTCTTGTTTTCCACTAAGAATGATGCTGTACTAGGGAAATTAATTGGAATTTTCCACCTAATGTTGCATTCCGTTACAACGATTAATTGTTTTTTTTTGCAGCCTCGTTCTAGACAATTCGCAATAAAAGACGGAATAACACTTTAGGATAATTTTTCTTCAGATCGGTCTCACGAAGCTACGACTAATTCGTAATGGAGGAGTTCGTATTGCTGAAAACAATAAAATGTGTTATTCTCGATATATCGATTGGAAACACCTTATGGCTGGACCGCTTAATGACATTCTTGTTGATGACTCGGTGGAAATTGGTGTTGGAGAAGGGAAGATCTGTGAGTTTCTTTTTGTGCTGTCGTTTTCTAACTTACCTTACTTGGTTCCACCTCGTAAGGTTTCTTTCTAGAATTGAATATATTGCAACCAGTTTAGCGCCGCACGCTACCGCGCGCATCAAACGGAAGGTCGGGATGAGACAGGACAGCCGACAAAGCGCTAGATTCACCGCTAACATAGGCTCTTTATCTTAGCAGAAGCTCACCGTTTGATACGCGCAGTGGAGTGCGGAGCTAAAGTGGTGTCTGTAAACAACCACCATGCATCGAATGCCAGTGTAATTTAGCGGTCGGATTGTGTGTGATGTTAAATATAAACAATACATACCAGTACTTCGTTATCGTTCGTATTTTTGAACTTACACCATACATTTTTAGGAACCCTGAGGGGCACAGCGGTTTAGTGGTATTTCGGGCTGATGATAACAAAGCAAATGAACGAATATTGATAATAAAAGTGCTTTATCTTTACTTTTGCTTTCTGACGCGCCTTATCGGCCCTTATCAATCGTTATCAGTTTCTGGCACCCACCAACAATGTCCCCGTCCCACCCCACATAACACTTGTAAGTATGGTTGCTCTGGTGTCAACGCGAGCCAGGCAACGGAATCGACGACTTTTGCGTTCTGGCGCGCCTTATCGGCCCTTATCAATCGTATCACTTCCATCATGTCTCATGCACACACACCGAACAATTGTCCCTAGTCCCAGCACCACATCTTCAAGTATGTTGCATCTGGTTGACAAGCAAGTCGCTAGGAGTGTCAGCAACGAGCCAGGCAACGGAATCGACGACTTCAGCGTTCTGGCGCGCCTTATCGGCCCTTATCAATCGTTATCAGTTTCTGGCACCCACCAACAATGTCCCCGTCCCACCCCACATAACACTTGTAAGTATGGTTGCTCTGGTGTCAACGCGAGCCAGGCAACGGAATCGACGACTTTTGCGTTCTAGCGCATCTTATCAGCCATTATCAGTTGCTATCGCTTCCAATCATGTACCACCAATGTCCCGGGACCGCCCCACATAAGACTTGTAAGTATAGACGCTCTTTTACCAATATGAACGGCAAAACGAAATTGGCGATGCTCGCTTTCTAGCCCCTCTTATCAGCTATTATCAGTCGTTATCAGTTCCTATCACGTACCACTTGTGTCCCCATCCCACCCCCTATAACATATGTAAGAACCACTGCGCTATCGTTACTGTGACTCGAGCTATGAATTTCCGGTCAAACACACACACACACACACCAACAGACACACGCTAGCCGCTTATATATAGTAGGATTCTCACTATTGCTTTTTTCAATGGTAGCAACCTTTTTATTTGTGTATGAAAACTGTGGTTGTTGCGTAGAATCGGCATCGCATTCAATTTAAATTGGATTAAAGCAATAGGGTATCAAACATAATGCTCTAGACATGATGTTTGATGCTCGCGTGCTACAATTTTTATTACCGTTACAAATAACTAGGCTATCTGGCCATTAGTGTTGCAAACAGCTGGCAGACATAGCTATAGAGCTATGACCAGTCTCGTTTGTCCATAGCCTTGATGTTAAGACTGAGAAGACTGCACGTGCTCACCAAGAAACTGCTCGCTGGTGTCTTTCTGCTCACCTGACAAGTATTATATTAAGAACTACACTTAACTTTAATTAATAGCTTAAAGGGCTGAGAAGGGATCGCCGAACATGCCAGCAATGCCGTGAGTCTTGAATGGACATTCTTAGTCTGCCGGTGAGGGGGAGGCATTTCGATTCTTCCTCAATACTTAGCTGCTTAATCATTGCGTGTTACTGTCATGTTCATGAGTATCAGTATTGTGGAAACCCCTCCTTCTCTTTAAGTTCACCCGAACAGTTCATCGTTTCAAGTCCGGAGTAGTCTACTTGACACACCAACCTGTGGAGGCGAATATATACGTAGGAGAAGGGGTAGTTCCGCTACGAGTTGAAGATGTTTAAAGAGTAACGGTACGATTGGTGTGTTAGTTCTATTGAAAAAAGAAACAGGGATTACAGTGCGATGTCTAAGATTCCAAAGTCTGTCATAGCCGCTTCCCACCCCACTTCATGAGTTTGGGTTCATGGGCTGAAATGAATAGAGGATTCCCAGTATAGCTTCTGCTAACTCTGGGCATCTGTCGTGATGCAGGGTTACAAGAGGCAGTGTACGTTTAACCATGGCCGGACTTAAAGCCATGCTTTTCACGTACCATATTAAATCATTAACTTGAGACTTGGCGCCTTTGTTGCTTTTTCATGGTACATTAACCAACCGTCAGTGCTCGCACGTACGCATTTGATAGTCCGGCTCGCCGATACTGGCAGCAAGCCGTTAAACTGGAAACTTACAGCATTTTCTATTTTGTTTCCTTTTACACTGCTATTTTTGCAATTCGTAAGGGAAATACTATCGTAAGGATGCTGCATCTGTTTCAAATGTAGGCTCGATTTCCTTCCGAAGCCGAAGGTTCCGCCCATAACTCACCATCCTTCTGATAACATTTGCATCGGAAACTACGGCAAAAAATAGCAGTATAGAAACGGAACAAAGCAAGAATCTCTCGAGGACTAATAAAGCAGGAGTTGGGCGGGCAAGTCGTCTTTAAAGAGTCTTGAGCCCTGACGAAGTTGAAGTTTGAAACTAAATCTGGTAAAGTTACACGGATTTCGAAGCACAGTTATATTCTTACAAAGAAATTTTTTCCTCAGGTTTCTTTTTGGAATGTGCTGCAATTTGTTGTTGTATTTCAGTATCTTGTACTGATGATTGCGACGTGGAGGATGAATCGAAATGTCGACGTGTTGTACACGCCCGTGGAGAGGCGTTGTCTTGCTGGAATAAACACA